GCCATCTTTTTGCGCAGCCTGTTATTTTTTTTTTTTTTTTTTTTTTTTAACTTCCACTAGATTAATGAGTCCTGAGCTGTCAGAGCAATGTAAGACATTGCAGGCCTCTTTGGCAGCGCAGGACTTTGTAGCGGGTTCAGTGGACATGTGACTGCAGAAGGAAGAGCCGGGCCTTCCACTGAAGTCATGGGGGGAATCGAGTTGTATTTCTTAATAATGAAAAAGACTTTTTATAACATCAGGAAAACTATCTTTTTGTATCTGTTCTATAAAGGTTTGGACTGTACGTGGAGTATTTAGCATTGCACTTTTAAAAACAAAGATACAAAACAATGAGAATTTGAAACAACCAGTTGTTTGTCAGTTTTATCCTTGCTATATGTTGACTTTCTGCAGTAATGCTAAGCATATCCAAGCAGAGTTTTCATCATGCGACCACACCTGTGACATATGCCAGTTCTCACTATCATCATTGGGTCCATAAGTTTAAATGCAGATAGTCCGGCATACATATTGCTGTACAGATAAGCCAGAGGTCTGGAAGAATACATGAAAACCTCTGTTACAGACACCAAAGGCTTTTAGCACATATTTGTTACCTTTTACACTGTCTAAATTGCAATGTGACCACCCTGAGCATCACATGAAATAGAAATACTTTTCTAGTGTACATCCAGCCTAAGAGGCATACTAATTTTAAGTCCTATATGAAGGAAGCTTCATCAAAATGAACATTAAACAGACATTGAAGCACAGTTAAAATAGACTTTGGGTTCAACCTTTGTGCTTGGGCCACACTGGCAATTTAAATTAGGGATGCACCAATATATCGGCCGAAAATGGCACTTTTGGCATAATGCCAAAAGTGCCATTTTTCTGCCGATACATCGGCGCATCCCTGCTTTCTTTCCTCCTCCCTGGGCGCTGCTCTGTGTCCCAGCAGGGAGGGGAGAAACTGTGATATCCGGCCGAGCGCTGCGGAACGAGAGCGCTGTGAGCGGCCGGCGTCTCCTCCCACACTGTTCAGCCTCCTATCACAGTCCAGCAGAGCGGTGTGTGGGCGGAGACAGGCCACGCTTTCACAGGAGCTGGGCTCTCCTCCCTACACCGCCCAGCCTCCTGTGACAGCGTATCAGAGAGGGTACAAACACTCAAAGATCAGTGATCACTGAGTGTTTGTACATCATTGAGGATATGGTATGGTGACTATATGCTCAATTATGAATGAATGAGAAGTGATCTACATCACCTCCTGTTCATTCATAGTTGTAGTTATAGTAAGCATACCATGTCCTCATGTTATCAATGAACAGGAACACTCAACTCTTGCAACCAAAGCTAGCCATACACCTTTTAGATTTCTTTTGTTCTGCCCACTGAAATCAGTTGATTCCCCCATACATTGTAAACCGCATGGATGAAGGAATCTTCCCTGTCCGATATTGTATTCTGGTGGGATCTATGGCTGCTAATTACTGGAACAGTGACAGCATCTGATTGGCTTCTTCGCCAAAAGTCGTTTTGAAAAAAGTACTTTAGTTGAGTTGGGTGGTAGTGCAGACAAGGCCACCCACCGCTTGAATTTTGGGCAATTCAGCAGGAAGCGGCCACAATTCAACCAATGTATGGCCAGACTATTTGCTAGCAGTCGCTTGAATAGGTTAGAGCTACATCCTACTACTAAAATTGCTAGTGAGTTATTGATAGGTGTAGCAAATGATCAGTACATACATGGAACACGTGGCATCTTATGAAGCAGGTTAGCATGTAGTAGCAATCAGTCTTGTATGATTACACAATCCATTTGTGTGTGATTGATTGCTATAATATACTACTGCATCCTGTTTGTGCGACCTGCTCCATTAGGTGTCTTGTGTTCCATTAAAGTAGCGATCATTAGCTGCACCAAGCAATTAACTCCCTATCAATTTTAGGAGCAGGATAACATTTGCTGTGTAGTTCTAAAATAGAAAAATAGTTAAATCTCTTAGTAGCAAGAGATTCAAATCTCCAGTGTAGCCCCAACTTTACACCCTGTAGGTATCACTGTTGCGATTGATGTGCTTGTGAAGTCCAAGAAATCCATAGCTGGCAATAATACCAGGGAGACCTCTGATTTAGAAATGGTTGGACTATTTTAACAAAATCAGGTGTAGATTTTCAAAACCATTCCATTATGAGTTTGGTGAATATATTTATTTTACAGTTCTACAATTTCTATACAGCACTAATCATTTTATTTTTGGAACGTGCCTGTCAAGTTTTATCTCCATTTTGCAACCTTGTAATTCAATGAACCATCCACTAAAATCCAGCCAAAGTGACAACTGAAGAGAGGAGATCATGAGCGGAGCTTCACTGGGTTCAATCAGAGGGGTTCCATAGGTAACTATCCCTTTACTCAAATGGGAGTTTCAATGCAATAGGCCAGAGTGTAAAGTGAGGCAACGTCAAGTAATCCTGTTTTCACTTCAGGCATTGAGTGTTGTGAAACTTTTTTGTATACATTTTTTTCTTCCCATCTTACTGGATGTTTGATTTGAACATCACTTCACCTACCACTTTAGGTTAAGAGTATTGTCAGGAAGTAACTACATGTTTTGGGACCGTACATGATGTTGCCTGTGAGCCAAAACCTGTAGATGCTTCCCGACAGTACATTAAATAGAAATCCCCTGTTGCTGGCTCCTGTAATTTGTATATAAATTAATTGGAGTCCTGGGCCTTATAAATGTGAAAGATGTCACCAGCACACCGAAGATCCTTTTGGAATCGCCAAATGCTAATTTTATTGAACAAGTTGTCAGAATGGATGATGAAGCCTGATGAAGGGACCTTGCAAGGTCCCAAAAGTGCTTGTATTCATTCTGATAACTTGCTCAATAAAATGAGCATTTGGTGATTCCAGAAGGATCTTCGGTGTGCTGGTATCTTTCACATTTATCTTATGCATACAACGGTGCCATCCGCTCTCATTACGAGCACCCTTCCCATTACATGGGATCTTCGGTTAGGAGTGCAACAAGAACCTTTCTACTTATCGTGGGCCTTATAAATGTGGAATGCATTGTTGTCTTTTCCTGCTTAGATGCTAATGAATAATTGGGGTTGTTGCACCTCTGCTATATATCCATCACTTATAACAACATTTTAGAAGAAAGAAGGTATGTTGGTTTAGCAGCAGCTAATTCACTGGCACTTTTCATGTAGTCTTATTATGCTTGGGGGCCACTAATAGAAATCATTTTCTTACTCTACATTAACAGGCATACAACCATAAGGCCCTAGTGTTGTCTATACTCCATGTCCTTTATTTTGTTTTTACAAATCCCACAAATGCCTTTATGGGGCTTGGAACCCTCCTAACACTGCTGTGGGTGGCAATCGGACTTCCTTTGGGAACACATTTCAAGAACACTAAATAAGGTCCCCGGTATGTGTATGATTAATAGATATATATCAATTACTGTACAAAGGAGTGGTTTGTTTGATCTCATGTAGAAGCTTCCACCGGCCTTTTTGTAATATTTCTTCAGCACTTGAATGCCTGCTCAGATGAGGGCAATACATGGAATGATTGAGTCCGCAAACTTAAAAACAGCATACTACTTTCTAAATATTAGCACTACGGTATTGGTGATGATAAAAGATTTAACAGCAGTGTCCCTTCTGGTTTTATTGTCTAACATCTCTAGATGGAGTACAGTGAAGTCCATTATCTTCATGACTCTTGTACGAGTCAGCAGGTCTTCTAATAAACTGATGATCTACCGCGGCTATCACAGTTTGCTTTTATCACACCTAGCATAGGTTTAAGGGGGCATTGACATTAAATGACTGCTTGGTGAAAACTGACGAAACGACTGTATCGATTGCAAGCTAATAACCACATATATCTTGTAATGGAGACCCATGCATTCGTAAGAATGAGGAAACCCAAGTTGTCTTTCCATGTATCATTTATTTCAGGGAAACAATATTTTTTAACCTACTACAACACATTCCATGTAGACTGGAAGAGAAAGACTTCACAAAACAGAATCAAGAGGAACGGTAACTAGGTAAACATCCTGGGGAAAAAATGGAATTTATTGGTATGACCAGCCATCTACAACTGAGCCAAAGCTATATCCCCTTTTCTAAAAACTGTAGCAAAAGTTAATGCTTGCTCAATCGGGTGCTGGATTCCAATACTGCGACTGTGTACCAGTCATGTCATACCATACTGTCCATAAGATGACACTGTAATTTGCAGAATGTGCCATAGCAGAGTGTAGTCACAGGTTGACAGGGATTTATATAATACCATTTCTTCACAGCTTTGTTTAAACAATTTAGTACATACACAGATAAAGGCCTACAAAACTAATTTAAAGGAAACCTGGACGGAGAAAAATATGGAAGCTGCCATTACCGAGCTTTTTGGCTAACTGCCTCTAGATTCAATACTTTGATTTACAAACCAGAAACATA